TTGACAATGCGCTCGGTATCAACGGTCTCTCAGGCGCAAGGCGACCGTCTCTGGTTACATCGGACTCCGCTAGCATTAGTGGCGGGGTTGAGCAACGTATGCCATCTCCGTTACCCAAGCGTCAGACACAAGAGCTAGAAGACTACCGTCCCGAAAACCAAGATCTTCAGCAACCACCTGTTGTCGTAACTGCTGCTCGCCGTCGTTTCTTCAACCAGATCATCACCAAGTGTGTTCTACAACTCCTCATGATCGAGACGGTTCAAGAGCTCTTCACAAACGAAGCCGTCTACGAAAAGATCCCATCTGGCGAACTGCTCCGCCTCATGGCTGTACTCAAGAAGTCGTACCACTTCGCCAAGCGCTTCAACGCCAACCGTGACTTGAGGTCACGCCTATTCAGGGAAGGCTTCATGAAGCAACCACCAAACTTGTTGAAGCAGGAAAGCGGATCTGCGTCGGTGTACGTCAGCATCCTATTCCGGATGTACCACGACACATCCAACGATCGCGCCGCATCACGCGCCGATACCGAAGCTGCCCTGATACCACTGTGCGAAGACATTATTGCCTCATACGTTGATCTCGACGAAGAGACCCAACAACGCAACATTGTTACGTGGCGTCCTGTCGTCGTGACCGTATTGGATGGATACACTGGTCTGCCCACCACGGATTTCGAGAAGAACGTGGACCTTTTTGCGCCGCTTGTTGTTGGGCTTCTCGGCACGGAGATGGCACCCGATGTGCAGAGAAGCGTACAGGCGCTCGTTGGGCGCATCTTCGAAACAAAGCTGGGCATGGAGAAGGTGCCACTCATGCCGGCCATCAGTCGGAGTCCACGAGGTAGCTTTGTGGGTAGTCCATCCCAAAGGAGAGTCAGCAAAGGTGGACGGTAGAGTGATTTTCTGTCCCACATCTTCATTTAAGGTTTCCTGGTTCAGCACTTGCTGATGTGTATTTCGTTCTTCAGGTCTGATTCGGCAAGCTGTGTCAACTTGTCAGCTCAGCACCTCTCTGTTCTTCTTTTGGATCTAAAGCATTGCCACTAAGGTCTGGGTGTCTCCAGAAGGCGTTTGTGGGCGAGAAGCTCAATTGTTTTGTACAGTAGTACGATGTTAAAATCTGCATCATCTTATCGATACTTTCTATGACTTCCCTTTTGAGCAAGACGGTTAGGAAAGAATACATAGATTACGATTCGTTTGCGATCTCTTGGTGCTGGTGATGGTAGTCCGCGAGATCAACGTGATCGACAGAGCCGCTTCATGCAGGTACGACTAGGGAAGCTTAAACCCGGAAATGCTCAACGTCATGGAAGCTAACTGCCGTTGCTGGTAGTATGTACCACACAACATGCACGTAAGGAACGTGTAAGTGTATGACGTTTGTTGACGACTGACATCACGGTGCAGAAGCGGAGGAAGCTGCAATGTTTCTTAAGGACAGCTCAGGCCCACCCAACGAAACGACAATACAGTACACCCGCGTGACCTTACAATCAAAATGCGGTCCTCACTGCTATCAGCCATTGCCCTGACTGCAAGCGCCGCAGCACAAATCACCTTCCAAAACAGCAGCACCACGATCCTGCAAACAGACCCCGGAACCTATGGTCCCGAAATAGAAGAATACCACTACTACTACACGCAATGGCCCATCGGGCTAGCCATCTCCTCGACAGGCCGTTTCTTCGCAACCTACACCCGCGGCTCCTACGCCTACACGCTCGGCGAAGTCGTCAACAAAACAGCCGAAGTCCCCTACCCATCCGCATCTCTCAACCTACCCGCCTCCCAACTAAACACAAGCTGGAACGGAATCCCGTTCGGCAGCAACAACAGCACCGGCCTGATCAGCGTTCAGGCACTGTACATCACACCTGAAAATGCTCGCAGACCAGAGACCCTCTGGGTCGTAGACACCGGCCGACCTACCATCACAGACGGCAGCGGCGCACCCAGTATGCCCTACGCGCAACCAGGCGGACCCAAGATCCTCGGCATCAACCTCTCCAACGACACCGTCTACGCAACCTACACCTTCCCCGCCTCCGTCCACTTCCCCGACTCCTACATGAACGACATCCGGTTCGACCTGCGCCCCAGCACCACCTCCTCCGGGGGCGGCGTCGCATACATCGTCGACAGCAGCGACGAAGGCCGGCCCGGTTTCATCGTCTTGGACTTGGGCACGGGGGAAAGTTGGCGGCGACTAACGCAGCATCCCTCCACTTTACGGGTAGACCGCGACGTCCCGTCCTACCAAGGCGTCCCGTTCTATCAGCGCACGATCGGCCAGCCGATTCAGACGCTGAGGGAGGGGTTGGATGGGATACAGATATCTCCGGATGGGGAGACGATATATTACAGTCCGCTCACGTCGGACTACTTGTATTCAATCCCCACCGCGAACCTCCTAACTCCACCCTCGGACCCCCTCGCCGAACTCACAGCCGCAAACAACGTAACCAATCTTGGTCAGCGCGGCGGAAACGCAAATGGGTTCGAGGGCGATAGCAATGGTTTGGTGTACCAGTGTATGCCTGAGCATAATGCGATTTACGTGTATGATCCACAGACGAAGATGACGGAGCCTTTTGTGAGGGACCCAAGGATAATTTGGCCTGATGGAGCGAGTGTAGGCGAGGATGGGTATTTGTATATGAATATTAATCAGTTGCCAAGGCAGCCGAATTGGAATGACGGGGTTGATGGGAGGGTTTTTCCGGGGGCGGTTCTGAGGGTCAAGTTGCCGGGGGGAGGGGGGAAGATTATGGGGTTGAGTTGAGGGCTGGTGGGAAGATGGGAAGGTGGGAGGACAGAGGATGGGAGATCGAAGTGGATGATTTATAATGGGCTATCATGTTGTTAGTTCAATCACATGTCCATCAACCAGCATAAATCAGCATCCAACTCGTTTCAGTGATAGTGTCTCCATTCATCGTTCATGCTACCGAACTCGTGCGTCGTGAGGCTACATGTATGCGCAGTGTAGACACTGTATGCAGAAACACCATATACAGGCGGATGCATCCATCCATCCATGAGATAGAGAGAAGAGAAACTTTTGCCCGAAACCCCAATAAAAGCCCGGAACATGGATAGGTATCATGGCGATGACCGTAGAAATGTGGTAATCCTTCAACGCCATAATATGCAATAACATTCCGTAAGGTGTGTGGTTAAGTCAACTCGGGTGAGCGACGAAAATGTCCTGAAAGTATGAGAAACGAGAGGACAGGTCCCTACTCGTCCTGCTTGATCTCAAGCTTGTTCTTCTTGGGGCTCTCGGTGCGCTCACCGTCATCGGCCTTGCGCTTGTTGGAGGCGTTGTCGTTGCTGGAGTCCTTGATGACGGGAACGCCGTGGGCGTCGCGTTCAATCTCCTTCTTCTCCTCCTTGCGGCTGGAGCGGTCGTCCTTGCCGTCCCTGAAGCGATCGCGACGCTTGTTCCAGTCGTTGCTGTCGACGGAGCCGCTGCGGTCGCGACGTCCACGGGGAGAGCGAGAACGGTTACGGTTGCCGTCACGGCGGTTGTCGCGACGGTCGTTACCACGTCCACCGCGCTGACCACGGCCTCCTCCACGGCCTCGGCCTCGGCCGCCATCTCCGTTGGTGCCGCGGAGCCTCTTGCGCTGCTCGTGCTTCTCCTGTTCGGTCAACTCCCAGTCGGGCTTGATACCCTTCTCCTTGCACTTCATCTCAATGTACTCCTTCTTGCCCATGATGGTGAGCTCGTTGCCGTTGTACTTGGGAGCGGGGTCAAGTTCGAGGAACTGCTTGCGGGAGTCCTCGGAATCGAATTCGACAAAGACGCTGCCCTTCCAGGCGCCGTCATCCTCGCGACGCTTGCGGATCATGACTGCGCCGTAGGGGCGGAAGAACTTCTCCAAGGCGATCTGGCCGGCGTCCTCCTCGTTACCGAAGCCCTTGACGTAGGCGCTCCTGTCCATGTTGTTGGAGGAGTTATGCTTCAGGCGGTAGAAGAGCTCCTCTGTGGTGGGCGGGTTCTTGTCGTCACCCTCCTTGACGGGAACGGAAATGGGCTCCTTGCGCTTGACAGCTTCGCTGCCAGCCTTGCTGTACTCGCCATCATCGACGACCTCGAGGTCCTTGCTCTCGCGGAGTGCTGCTACAACGGCGCTGTATGGCTTGAAGCGACGCATGCGCTTAAAGGTGCAGACGTGGTGAATAGAAACGGGGGTATTCTTGGGGCCCTCAAGAGACACGAACATGTGCTCATCGGTAGCCAAATTTTGGGTAGAGAAGTAAAACTCGACCTTGGGGCTGTTAGTAATGTGGGCCATGGTTCTGAGAGTGCGAGTCATACCTGTTGGCGGATCTCATTCGGGTCGTCGGAGTCTGGGAGATTGTCGAATGTGTCAATGTTGTTGGTCCTGCGCAAAGTTAGTACTAAGAAAGGCAAACTTCAAGATGTGAGCGTACTTCTTGTTGTGGTTGCTGAATCCGCCGCGACCTCCTCCGCGGCCACCACGACCACCTCGACCTCCGCGACCGCCATCGCGACGGTCATTGCGACGGTCACCGCGGTCTTCGCGATCGTTGCGACGGTCGTTCTTGCTGTCGGACTTGCCGTTGATTTCCCACTTCTCCTCGCCGTCGGCCTTGGCGGCCTTGTCCTCGGACTTGGAGGGAGTGGACTCAGTCTTTGACTCAGTCGTGTTGGCGTCGACGGTGTTCTGAGTCTTGGAGACTTCAGCGGGGTTTGCGGCAGGCGCAGCAGTGGTCTGTGAGTCTGCCATGGTCAATATGTGTGCAGCTTGAGTCGCGTAAGTGTGTAGAAGCTGCAAAAGGCGGTTTGGAGGGTGCGACAAAAAGGTTGGCGGGCGTTGAAGAGAAAAGGCTCAAAGGTGAGAGATAGCTATGGTTCTTAGTGGGGAATTTTCGATGCAGGCGGGCACGGACCGCTATCCAGATTTACGTTCGCCGCGTGGGCCGCTATTGTAACAATATCACCAATTCTGATCCGCCTTCACCATGCCGAGGAAGAAACCGAGGTTCCATTCGCTGAAGAAGCTGGTATGCTTGCTATTGTTCGGATAGGCGGACAATGGCCGTAGGCTGACACGCTGCAGAATGTCCGCCAGAATTGGTCGCGGTGGTCATTATACGCCCTATCACAGCTCAAGGCACCCAACGTCACCACCCGAACATACTTCCAGCAGAAATGGACTGCCAAGGCGTCGACGAGAGCATACCATGGCGAACACATACGGGAGAAGAAGTGGAAGCACATGTTCCGGCGGAACCTGCCAGCCGTAGTGGCCATGGACCATAGATATCTCGCCCAACACGATGGTTCAGAGCAGGCAGCTGGTCGAGGACAGGGTGCGGATTCAATGGACAAAGCCCGGACAGGACCAATGACACCGTACATGCAGATGGCATACTACCCGCTCGAGAGGAGATTGGACACAGCCATCTTCCGCTCGTTATTCGCGAGTAGTGTCCGACAGGCGAGGCAATTCGTTGTCCACGGCCTGGTGAAGGTCAATGGCAAGAAGGTGCGTCAATTTTCGCATACTGCACATCATCACCACTGACTGAACCAGATGGTCTACCCCGGCTACGCACTCAACCCAGGCGACATGTTCCAAGTCGACCCCTCCTCCGTCATGTTCGCAACCGGCGCGCCAAAAGAACGCTCATCAACCGCTCGTCGTATCGCCAAAGAAAAGGCAGCTGCCCGCGCCGCAGAGCGTGAGCAAAACGGCGGACAAACACCCAAGCAACCCAAGCAAGACGACTTCGTAATCACCCCATCCACACGCGAAGAGCCCACACCCACCGAGCTGAAGAAACAACTCCAAGACCTAATGGAGCAAGTCGACGGCGTCCTCGCCGAAGACGTCAAAGCAAAAGACAAGCAAAAGTTCCGCTCCTTCCGCCAATCCGTCAAGAAAGCCATAAGTCTCTGGCGCACCGCAAACCCAGAGACCATCTCGACCCTCGACACGCAGTTCGACTTCCTCAAGACACAAATCGCCGAGCGCGCTGCTGCCACGACCTCCTCCTCCCCCAAAGACGCTTCCGCCGCCGAACCCCTCATCTCCGAAGAAGACCAAGCGCGTCTGCGGTCTGCGTTCGAGAAACTACGGCTAGAAACAGAACATACGTCTGCGTGGAACAGGCGCGATGCTAGGGCGCCGTATGCGACGCCCTGGCGGCCGAGGGACTATATGAGTGCGTTTGCGTTTATACCGCGGTATCTCGAGGTTAATCAGAATATCTGCGCGGCTGTCTATCTGAGGCATCCCGTTGCGAGACAAGGGTTGGCAGAGGTGCCTACACCGTTCCATATTGAGACGGGACAGTTGGCGTTCAACTGGTACCTGCGGAATCGGTAGAGGGTGATGTGTTTGTACATTATGTAGATGGATCGCTCAACGCGGAGAATTGCAATTGTATAACATAATTTACGTTTCTGCAAGCATGATGACTTGATGTGTTTGCTGGATTGGTATTATGGGCTTGCTAGTAATGCAAGTCTCAGACCACAACTCCGAACTACAAGAATCGCGTCTCGCGCTTGTGTATGCTTTCTCACTGCTTGTTATTATACATGAGGACGTAGAGGTATTAGTGGGTGGTGTCCTCTGATCACCCGTTGATCGGACATTGCCATGTATCAACATTGCTAAAAATGAAGCTGGTGTAGCCAAAAGTAGGGGAATGCAACAGCTCGGTCAGGCGCCTTACACCAAACTAACAGAAAACATGCATGCGCGGATGAATAGCAGGCAAGAAATACGTTTACAAGTTGCAGAAATTCCGACGATGAAAGCATAAAAAGTGTAGGAAGTCTGGAGCGACTGTGCTGCGTATGCTCGCGCCGGGCGTACTGCAGGCATAGCAGATGTGATCTCCAAAGTGCGCAGACGGGGGAGGTATGGATGTGTAAAGGTTCAAACCCTCTACGTGGTAAGTACCGGGTATGAGTAGCCAAAGACGGGAAAGGTGTGCCCTTTCAGACACAAAGACTTGGTCCCTCAGTCTGCGTCCGACTCCTCGTCAAGCGTCAGTATACTGACAGGATATCTGAGTGTCTCCGCGCTGGGCCTGGGGCTCACATCGACAACACTACTATCGGGCGTCCAATGCGAACTCCGTTCAGACGTAGTAGACGCAGTTGTGTATTGCCTGAAGCCGTTCGCTACGACCTCCGAAGCCTCGAGATCAGACTCGTAGCTTGGTGGCTCGGTGGGCTCCGAACGGTAACTTGGTAGGCTATCTGTTCGGGAGAGCGGTCTTGAGGGGATCTCCGGGAGGGAGGTTGGGGGGTAGGTCGATGCCGTGGAGAGGGGCGAGTATGGAGCGCGAGGCCGTTGACGTTGGCAATCGCAGGGGGTATGGTTGATTGCCCTGCCTTCTTCGGCGTCTCGGACTAGGTCGCTGACGACGTCATGAGCATCTCTAAGCTGCCTGATCTCTTCTTGCATCGCGTCTTCGAGCACGCCTTCCTGCTCTGAGATCAGCGCCCGTTTCTCTTCGTAGTCGGCGATGCGTTGGTTGTCGCGCCGTGCCCAGTTACCGCGCCACCAGCTGCGCCATGCGTGTTGGCGGGCTGCTCGGCGGTAGGCTCGAGCGTTGAGTCGTTCCTCTCGGGCTGCGGCTCGCTCGGTCCTGGTTCGCAGGCTGCTGCACTTGTGACGGATGACGGCGACAAGGCAGCCGCAGCAGAGAACTCCTAGTGTGATCTCGAGCGCGAGAAGGTAGGGAGATGGCTTAGGTGGACGAGGTGGAAGCTCGTTCTATTTGAGGTCAGCATCATAGTCTTTGCTTCACTTGGTGGGGTGTCAAACGGAGGTACATACTGCTTGAGCCTCGTATACCTGGGGTGTTGAAGTCACGGCTTTCAGGTGACTTCCAGAGATCTGTGCGACCTGTGCAGCATGACCGTGTGCCTGCGCGAACACTTGCTCGGGGCTGTTCATCTCTTTCAATCGTTGATCGGGTTTGAAATGGAAGGATACGATTTCCCAAGCACACTTTGCTTCATGGGCGATAGTCTGTACGATGCACGAGACGCCGTCACATTCACCCAATTGATGCGATAGTTCCTTCGCTTCTTGCCTTAGAACTGAATGAATCTGCTTCTTCTTCTCGGCGATAAGGGATTCGAGGTCTTTGAGTTCCCTCTGGAGAACTTTCAACTCGCGGATGTCGTCCTTAAGAGACGGGACTCTGCCTTTCGCTTTTGAAGTTTCGGTGACGTTGTGGAAGGCCAGACGCAACAACCGAGGAGGCTTGCGCCAGGATTCAGCTACGTCTTTGTTGCTCGCCGAGGGGTTGGGGACAGACTCAAGTCTGAGTAAGGAAGGCGGTGATGTCTGCGGTTTGAACGAGATCGTAAATCCGGCAGGTTTGGTGACTTGCTTTCCGTCGATGGCCTTGATGTTGACCGTTACTACTTGGGCTGCTTCTTCCGTTTCCAAGTTATCACGAAGACAGGCTGTCTGCCATTCGAGATCCAAGTCGTGCTGCAGAAACCATTCATTCTGTGTGAGGTCGGTAACGCCTTGGTAGGAACCGGAACCAGATGCGAAGTCGCCGTTCCACTCTTGAGGCAGATGAAGTCCGTTCAGGGTAATGTTGGAAGAACCACAAGCTTGATCCTGGGCATGACTGGTGAAACTCAAGGTCTAAGGATGGTGAGCAGGTGGCATGGTATTTAGGTGCCTAAGGGTGGGCCTTACCAAAGACTCGTCATCCTGGTCCGTGTGATCGCGGCCAAGACAGCCAGTGCAGGGGACACTGAAGGTAGCTTGCGCGTAGTTCTGTTGAAGGTCTAGCAAAAGTTCAGCAGCTGCCTATGGATGGCGAATGTGGAATAGTATAAGAGGGGCGCGTACCTAGCTGCAAAAGATTTCCGTCGGCGCGAGCAGCGTAACGCTCGTGTTGAGGTATGACGCCGGCGAGTACAGGTGCCGCCCAGGCGCAGGCTGACAGCACTTTGGACTTGAAGGAACGCATATTGGAAGCAAAAAAGAACACGAGTTGAACAGCAGAGCGAGTGTGCAAACAGCGCACACGAACACCGACCCGCAAAGAGAGCGAGGTTTGGCGGGTTATGGGACAGATGTTCCCAGAGGTTCGATCAGGCACCAGTCGAAGGGCGTTTCGGTGTATAAAGGCGCAGAGCTGCTAGTGGCTGCCGTCAGCGTGAGCGTGGCTTAGACGTCGGCTCACGATTCAGCTGGCAGCACTATGCATAATGCAGTGTGATGAAACACTGGGATACGGGAGGATGCGAATGTGTGTACTTTGGTAAATGTATGTAAAGGTTGCGATGAAATCCATGATCGCTGAGGCCATGTGGCAGCATCATTGGTGCGGTTCTCGTCCATGCGACTGCGCACCTGCTGACTTGCGCCCATGACAATTTCTTGCCTTACGCATTCGCTCTATGAGAGTATTACATGTATCTAGTATCATGATAATCAAAGCAGTTGAAGAACATGCATGGTCTGCGCACAGCTGCCACACGTGCACGTGCAGGTTAGAGGACTCGGTGAGTAGATGGTGCAAACCCCATTCGGACCGGCCGTCTGTTATTGGTGGCCTCGGAAGTAAGTCGACTACATTGGTCGTGTCCTAGAGGAGTGGATATACGGAGTAGAGGGATGGTGTTCGATCGCATCTCGTAGGGCTGGCTCGCCAAGGCACTGTGGTCCGAGCTCTCGCGGCCTGCGATGCAATGAGGGAGATCATCACTAACCCGACTACGTATCCCGCCCTCGATTCCACTCAGTCCTAGGAACCTTTCTTACTGCGTCGCGACATTCTCGCTGGACCTATAATATTCAATACATAACGCCCGGTCTATCCGCGAGCCACCCCGGTCGCCAATATGGTACGTCACCTCACTCACCAGCAGCTCACGCCTTTTTACTGACTCTCGACACAGCTGCCATTGGGCCTTCTAACGGCCGCGACCGGCCACCCCATGCTCGTCGAACTGAAGAGCGGCGAAACCCTAAACGGACTGCTCGTCAACTGCGACACATGGATGAACCTTACCCTGAAAGAGGTTGTGCAAACGAGCGCCGACGGTGACAAGTTCATGAGATTACCAGAGATTTACGTTCGCGGAAGCACAGTAGGCGGTCATCTTGTCCCTCTCGATACACTCTACTGACCACTATTCAGATAAAGTACCTTCGAGTCCCGGACGAGATCGTCGACGTTGTAAAGGAACAGCAAGCCAAGGACCAAGCGAACCGGGGCGGCCGAGGAGGAGGCATGCATGGACGAGGAGACCACCGGGGCGATCGTGGTGGAGGCAGAGGCATGAGGGGCCGAGGACGCGGTCGCGGAAGAGGAGGAGGCGGCGGTGGTGCTTGAGAGGCGGACATATACCCAAATGCAACGGCAGTCAGCGCGCGCGTCGCTTGTAAAAACCATGGCGGGTTCATATGCGGTCGTTGACTATGAAGCAAGAATACAGAGGAGCGAAAGAGCACTACTGCGGACTGTCAAGTTGGACAGACTTCTTTGAAGGCTGCATTGGAGCATAACCTACCCGAGTGTCGACCTTCGCAAGAGCAGTGCAACCCTCCCGGTCCGGTCGTACATTCATACTGAGCATCTGAGGCTTCTCTGCGAGGTGAGCACAACAGAACGTCCGCTGTTCGGGGCACAGTTCCAAAGTTAGCTGCCTGACACGAATAGGCGCCAGCAAATTAGCCAAAAGGAACCCTTGTCACAATGGGCACATAATTGTTGGTATTATCTCTGTGCCTCCCAGTGACACAAGTTACCTAGGTACCGGACACCAGTGATTAGCGTAGTCGTACGTTGATGCGGGGTCTGCCGTAGTCCCGAGCTACAATGCGGCGTAGGCGTCTGCTTTGGCGACTCTCCATCTGCGCTAATTATAGTACATCTGCCCCTGCCTGATATGTCTCCTCACGAGTCCCTCAAGAAGTTGTTCTGTTCTTTCCTATTCACCCATTTCTGCATCTGCCAAGACATTGTCTGTTCACCTGTATTCAAGTCGCCCTTTCCAATCTCAGTACTTTGACATTCCATCACAAACACACTGTCCCACTCAACACAATGACGAGCTTCACTATCTCTGATGGCCAACTTGATGGATTGAAGGATCAGGTAGCTGTCATCACTGGTGGGACAACATGACCGGCTATCATTTACCGACTACTCACCCGCACCAGGAGCATCATCGGGCATAGGACTTGCGACACTCCGAAGGATCATCAAGCATGGCGGCAAGGTCTTTGCTAGCGACCTCACTCCCCTTCCTGAGCCCGAAGCATCATCTGTCCCCTTCTTGAAAGCCGACGTCACGTCCTGGAAAGAGCAACTCGACGTCTTCAAAGCAGCAGAACAGGAGTACGGGAAGATCGACCATGCCTTTGCAAACGCAGGAATAGGAAAATCAACAAGCTTCCTGGAAGAAGAGGTGGACGAGAATGGCGACTTGTTACCGCCGAAGATGAACACAATCAACGTCAACTTAGTCGGTGTAATGTACACCGTGAAGCTGGCCATACACTACCTCAAGAAGAACCCCAACGGTGGCAGCATCGTCATGACAGCATCGGGTTCAAGCTTCGCGCGGCTCCCGGCTGAAGACTACAGTACGTCTCGTCAACCCATTTCAAATTGAGTACTGACACATCCCAAAGCCACAGCCAAACACGGCGTTCTCGGTCTTCTACGCGCTCTACAGCCCCAACTTCACCCCAGACTCCCCATCCGCATCAACGCCGTCGCCCCATCCTGGACCGACACAGCGATTGTGCCCCGTGCCATGATCGCTGCGCTAGGCGATAGCAACGTGCAGTCGGCCGATGTTGTTGCCCGTTCCGTGGGTGTGTTGATGGCAGATAAGGAACGTCATGGAGAGCTAGTGTACAGCGCGCTGGGCAAATTTGTGGAAATGGAATATGGAGAATCGGGGTTCCATGCTCTTACGAAGCCCATGATGGAGCTTGCGGAGGGCGGGGAGAAGAAGGAGGTCCTGGCTGCTGAGAAGAGGGTTGATGAGGTGCTTGAAGAGATGGCGGTGGAGAACCATGGTATTTCGGTCGTCACTGAGTAGGCATTGGGGCGCTTTTGACCTGATAATAGCAGCCATGCATGTTTGAGATCTCAAAATGCAGATCGTTGTTTCCTTACTCTTTGCTTCCGTGCGCTTGGGCTAATGTTTGATACAGCATTCTTCTCCAGGTGTGATCAAATTTAACAGCCTGGCAATCCACCGTTGTCAGAAAGGCAATTTCCAATTACCCGACTCATTGTAAGAAGAAAGCCTAATGTTCAAGACGAAAATCAAAAAGAGACGGTATTTGAGATCCGCACGATGCTTTTGTCTAGGACGTTCCTCCCATGTCGAGATGAAACTCGCGCGCTAGCGTGGCTTAGCTCCAAATGCCTCACGCAACCCTTAGGCAACCGCATCTACTCCTCAACACGCTCAAACACCCAACAAACTATCGCAAAGACCTCTAGAAGCCGTAATGTCGCTCAGCGGTCAGAACGACCGCTCTATCGACGCGTCTGACACCGATGCAATGTGGTCTACCCTGCGCAAGACCCATGCAAAGCTGGTAAGCACGCAAACATGCAGACGTTGGATTGTGTGGTCGCTAAACCCATATGCTTCTTGTGTAGAAAACTCATTCAGATGATTTGCAGAGGCTCAGTCAAGAGATGAAAGAGCTGAAGAAAAAGCAAGACGCCATCAAGAGAGAAGTAGGGAACTTCGAAAGGTATGATGAGGTTGTTCCTAATCCCAGGAACCTTGCGCGGAACTACCAACCGGGATCAATAGTGACATCACTAGGGAAATGGATGCTACGTCGACACACATCATCCTGAAAGAAGCGCCGGCTCTCATGGAGCCTTTCCTCACTCGGCTGCCTCGAGAGTTACGTGACCTTGTCTATGAGTATGTCTGCGTCCATCCAGACACCATACAGGTTGCTCTTCCTGGACAGCCTGGTTCTAGGACAGACCCATCGGTTGTTGGATCGGGTGGCCAACTAATGGATGTGTCCTACCTGTCAAATTCGGAGGTCGTACCTACCGAGCTGTCGGAGACATATTGGTCGAAGAATCATTTCGTGATCACAGTCGGTTTATGTACTGGAATGCGAGATGACAGTTTGGGCACTTTTCTGTTGCACGGAACAGTGCCTAGTGACAAGCCGTTTTGGAGGGTGTTTGTGCGCCCGTGGCAGAAAATCCGTCATCTGAAGATAGAACTGGCATGCGAACATTGGGAGTCCGATCCGCGCTTCGGGCAAGCCAAGATGAGTGACTACTACAAACCAGCATACGGCCTCGGTGACGACTCCACATTCGCGCAGGCTGCCGTGTCTAAACAAGAGGCTCAGGTTTATCCCCTCACTCGACTGAAAGGCCGAGAAGAGCTTCACATCGAGATCGAGATACACACCACGTTCGCCAAGGACGGCCCTGATGTTGAACAATCCGAGCGTCACTTCGTCAATATCATGGAGAGCATTCGGCAAACTGTGTGCGATCTGATAGACTCCGGCGTCCGTGTCACGGTCATATTGAGCAACCTCGACTATAACGCAATGCCTGAGGGGCCTAAAACGTGGGAAATTACATCTCGCTTTGTCCTAGACGAAGAGGAGTGGCGCAGTGTACGTACATAATCGACAGTGAGAACGATCAAGGCTGACTTGTAGAAGGAGAAAGATCAAATTGAAGCGCGGGACAGGGACACCGGCTACTTCGGGCATCCGCAAGCTGCGATGTACCATTGTGTTTCTGCAGCAGCCTTTGTTGACATTGAAGGTTTCCGTGAGCTACTGTTGCGTCGTTGGAAGGTGCGATATGCTCTACCCTGGATGGAAGAAGAATCAGAAGTTCAATAGGGGCAGAACGGTCGGATTGAAGATGAATAGAAAGTTTGAGCAATGCCAGTAGTGCGTTGCATGTTCAGTCAGGGTAACGATGTAACATTATCGGTGCGCTGGCAGCGGCGGTGACTTTGATACAGAAGCGTGTCGAGTGAAACTTAAAATCTCGAGTATACACCGCTTACTCTAAGGACCGCTATATGTATGATATCTATCAGAATCGGCAGCGTTTAAGGTATTTGCGTCCAATTACGAACAATCATTTCCACCACATGGTACCCTGGTACGCTATCTCTCCGAAAATCGAGATTAGGCGATAAGCTTCACATCACGTCAAGACTCTACAAGCACTTGTAGACCGGTGAGAAGGTCGAAAACTTTGGGTAACGGCTTCTTCGAAGTGCATAGCATGAGTTCCTATGAGGCTTCTGGTAGAGGTTGAACGTACCAATGAAGTGGTTGGACGCTCCACAAGCGTTCCAAAGCTTAGTAAGGGCCGTGCAGGTGCAATTCGTTGACTCGTTTTACGTTTGCGCAGAACCCACACGTCCCCTTACTCTCCCGTCGATTTCGGATATGCAATGGCCCGTCAGCCTATCAGCCGCTTGACACATGGTAATGTTTGATCGGTCCCAGTCCCAAGGATCGTGGCAAGAGTCGTGGCATAGCGGGGTACCCGGGAAGAGATCTTTGCCATGACGATGCAAGCAAGTGAGCCCTACGCCCTATCTACAACCGAAAAACGGCCATATACCGACGCTGACACCCGACGGCACATGAAAGGATTGCGACGGCTGTTTGCCTTCAGATAGATGGGTCGGCGATCATCGTGGAGTCCGGGGAAGAGCCGTCTCCACGCCGAAAGGCTCCGCTGGCGACCGTGCCCCAGGCGCTTCACCACTTCGAGAGCTAGTAATGACAGCCATCTACCTTGGCGCGCGCGCGCTCCATCAAAAACGGCGCTGACAAGGACACCGGCCAGACCCAGCTGCGATCCGGCGTGAAGGAGGACCTTCCGGGGGGTGTGGAGTACAAATAAAGCAGAGGTGCGGCTGCGACGTTACGACTTGCCGTTGTTAAGAAAAAGGCCGTTCCTTCCTTCTTTCTCTCTGTACCTGAACGCGCTCAGGACGCCGCTTCACCATGGCCCAAGCCCAGACGGATTACGCGGCTGAAAAAGACACACCGAGCAGCCAACATGAAGACTTCAAGCCAGAGGACGCGCACCAGATTGCGGGACACGGACATACTGCTACCGACATGCGAGTCTAGCCACTCTCTTCGATCTTCTTTGCTGACAATGTCGACAGCTACGGCCATGCTTTGATGCAATTTGACAAAAAGGCAGAGTCACGCCTCCGCCTGAAGATCGATTTGTACATCATCCCGACCGTGGCCCTTCTCTATTTGTTCTGCTTCATCGACCGTGCCAACATCGGAAACGCTCGTCTAGCGGGCCTCGAAAAGGACCTTGGACTCAGTGGTTACGACTACAATACCGTTCTCTCCGTGTTCTACGTCAGCTACATTGTCTTCGAGATCCCGTCCAATATCTGCTGTAAATGGCTCGGCCCGGGATGGTTCATCCCTATCATCTCACTATGCTTCGGTATCGTATCGATTGGCACGGCTTTTGTTCACAACATTCATGCCATTTGTGGCGTACGCTTTCTGCTGGGTATCTTTGAAGCTGGTATGCTACCAGGCATTGCATACTACATGTCTCGGTGGTACAGACGCTCCGAGCTTGCGTTCAGACTGTCGCTGTACATTGTCATGTCTCCCCTAGCTGGCGCTTTCGGAGGGTTGTTGGCTTCAGCGATTCTCACGCTCGATTCCTTCGGCTCGCTCACACGCTGGAGGATGATCTTTGCTATCGAGGGTATTGTCACATGCTGCTTGGCCCTTATCTCCTTCATGACGCTCACAGATCGTCCGGAGACTGCGCGCTGGTTGACGCAGGAAGAGAAGGATTTGGCGATTGCTCGTGTCAAGGTATGTCACCATCTACTCTGGAAGATACGTTGCACAGTAAAGCGTGGATTCGGCTAGACAACCCGGTATGTATAATACAACTGCTGACTTTTGATCCAGTCCGAACGTGTCGGCCAGAACGAGGTCCTTGATAAGCTGGACAGGAAGAAGACGCTCCGCGGTATCTTCAATCCTGTGGTACTGGGGACTTCATTCATCTTCCTTCTCGACAACATCACGGTGCAGGGTCTGGCTTTCTTCGCACCCACGATTGTCAAGACGATATACCCAAACGATACGGTTGTTTCGCAGCAACTTCACACCGTGCCACCATACATCGTGGGCGCCTTCTTTACACTTCTCCTACCATTCCTGAGCTGGAGATTCGACAGGCGCATGATTTTCTTCATCCTGGGAGCACCGCTTATGATGATTGGATACATCATGTTCTTAGCCAGTACAGATGGGCAAGTTCGATATGGTGCTACCTTCCTCATCGCATCGGGAGCATTTTCGTTTGGCGCGCTGTGCAACGCGCAGGGCTCCGCCAACGTTGTGTCCGACACGGCGCGTGCATCCGCTATCGGTAAGTACCAAAGTTCGTACGCCATAATTAATACAAAGTCTGACTGAATGTTAGGTACTGTTGTTATGTTCGGCAACGTAGGCGGCCTGATCTCGACATGGAGTTTCCTCCCCACAGATGCGCCTAATTATCCCATCGGTAATGGGCTCAACCTGGCGACTAGCAGTACGATTTTGATATCGAGTATTCTGTTGTTGCTCTGGATCAACAGGAGCAACAAGCAGCGTGAGGCCATTGATGTTGACCAGGAGCTGGCTGGCAAGTCGCAGGGCGAGATTGAGGATCTGGATTGGCGGCATCCGTCGTTCAGGTGGAGGCCCTAAAGGACCCTCCACCACTAATGTATTATACGAAAAGAATGTCAACCATGACTCTTGTATGAAGAAATACCAACTGCAGTACAAGATGCTTCTGATGAATCCCAATGTGTGTTGTATTGCAAAGACCGAGTAATCCCCGTCATCCGGATTCCCCGCATCGATCGATAAGCATACCCTCCGCCCCGAACGCGACCTCGGTCCAGGAGCTCTTTCGTCATGCATCCGAGCACGACAACCATGATGAGCTATTCGGATCATCGCTCCGCGCATCTAAGCTGCACATATCTAATCACGCATCCTCCCTAGCCTGTTCACCCGACATTGAACTGCTACGCGTCACCACATCACGTCTCAATCGCCATCAGCAACCATGCCTTCCGCCATCGTGATCAGACAAGTCGAAGGCAAGCCAGGCAAAGTCTACTACCCACTCGAGAAGATAACCGTTCCCGAACCCAAGCCCAAAGAAAATGAAGTAAGCTCCCTACCAAGACCTGCCACCTGCGCACAATCTAATCCCCATCACCACCAGGCCCTCATAACCCTCACCGCCGCCGCGCTCAACCACCGCGACCTCTTCATCCGCCAACACCTCTACCCCGGCACAACCTTCGGCGTGCCCCTCCTCGCAGACGGCGTCGGCATCGTCACCTCCGCCGGCGCATCCCCCTCCGCACAATCATGGCTCAACAAGCGCGTCTTGCTGAACCCCGGTACGGGCTGGAAGGACAGCATGGACGGCCCCGAACATACCAAGGGTTATGCGATAATGGGCGGCACGAAGAGCAATCCCGTGGGCACACTACAAGATGTCTGCGCGCTCGATGCTGGTGAATTGGAGGAATGTCCCGACCATCTCAACGACGAGGAGGCTGCTGCGCTGCCCCTTACCGGGCTGACGGCGTGGCGCGCGTTCTGGGTTAAGAGCGGGAATGCGATGCCAGGACGGAATATCCTCGTTACAGGCATTGGAGGCGGTGTTGCGCTTATGGTGTTGCTGTTTGCTGTGGCACAAGGTTGCAATGTCTACGTGACGAGCGGGAACCAGGAGAAGATTGACAAGGCGGTCAAGTTGGGTGCGAAGGGAGGTGTTATCTACAAGGAAAAAGATTGGGATAAGAAACTTCAGGCCATGCTGCCAAAGGAGAGGAAGTTTCTCGATGCTATTGTGGACGGGGCTGGAGGCGATGTTGTTAAAGTGGGGAGTAAGATTCTCAAGGTTCGTTCTTCCCTCCCTCTCTCCATTTCTTGCAACAACAAGCTGATTTATAGATATAGGCCGGCGGCGTCATCTCCATATACGGCATGACCGTATCCCCCAAGATGGACTTCCTCATGTCCGCCGTGTTGCGCAACATCGAAGTCCGTGGCTCCACCATGGGTTCGAGGAAGGAGTTTGCTGATATGGTGCGCTTTGTTAAGGAGAAGAAGATGAAGCCTGTGGTTAGCCGCAGTGTGCATGGTTTGGATGTGGAGAAGATTGATACCCTGTTTGAGGATATGAAGAGTGCGAGTCAGTTTGGTAAGTTGGTTGTTACGCTGGGGCAGGGTAAGGCGAGTAAGTTGTAGGGTCTATCGGTTACTTCGATGCGTCTCTCTTCAGATACCTAAGTTTTTGTCCGAGAATGCCACACTTTACATCTCAGTAAAGCTACCATGAGGATTATGCTGGCGCCCGACGAGCGCATATGGACCGCCCGTGTTTCTTTGTCCGGGCCTGTATGAAACTAACGGAGTGAGCGGAGTGAGTGAGAGGAGGGTCGGACATGCACTCCCTCCGGCAACACATCGGAGTTAGAGGTTGGGTTACACAGATAAGCATGACTACATAGCATCGCTTTTGAGCCCCCAAAAATCTTCTTCTTGCTTCATCCACATTCACTCCTCTTCTGTAACGGTCACGTCATAGTCAA